CATACTCTATCTAAATAAGATGGGTAAGAGCCGATTTAAATGTGTGTAGTGGGTTGCAAGTCAACTATTGAGAAAGCTTATATACGAAAAAAAATAGCATTCGGGTTTCACATTGTTTAAACCACTTCAGTTACTGCAAGCTGATTGAATACGATTGACGATATATACTGCATCTGCTGTTCTGTATCGTCAGAGAATGAGCATCAACCTGTTCGCTTAGTCGTATTTGGCTTATAAGCCATGGATTATCAGCTAATGAACAGATTTTTCTCTCACATCAAACCAGTCAGCAATACTTTTAGTCATAGCTTAGAAGTCAAACCAGCCCAAACGAATAGGACGCATATTGCCACACACTCGATCTTTGCTTGACCAAATAGAGAACCGTACCTGTGACAAATAGCATGAGCCATATGATTCATGATCACTTCGTCGTCAGATCCTGTAGGAGAATCCAATGACTCATTGGGACAGTTGTTGGAAACAAACAATGTATAACAACAGGACGGCGAGAGGACGAAGACGAACAATTTCAACGGACTTAGCGAAGGGGATGCAAGCTAAAGCCACAAAATAAGTGCACGGATCTGCATGAAACACACGCTACATGTGCACACAGCAAATAAACAAAGATTGAAACATTTCCAGTTTCGGAAGGAAAGTAATGCTGGGCAGAAGACCGAAAGATCCGGGATCAACAACGGAGGCAGAAGCACGACATCCGGGATCGGAGAAGCGCAAACCTCCATTGTTAGTAGCCATGGCGCAGTGGTGATTGATTTCTGATCTGTAGCCAGAGAACATCTCTTGCTTGCATGCCTCATGAACATGTTTGCTGATGGTCATCTAACCATGCACACATGCATGACCATGATGAGTTCATGGCATCACACTTATCTGTGCCATATCCATGCACCTATCGATGAAAGCATGGTTAAATGACCACCAACAAAACAGGTTCGGAGCTGCATTAGGTAGCTAGCCAGCCGCCCAGCCTCACGCGCTCACGCCCTCACCCTCACCAAGGAACAAATGGATCGAATGATAGCTGGAGATAGGAAGCTGCAGCTTAGAGAGAGGAGCAAGAAAGCGTTGCGGTCCGCGCCTATCTGATCCGAGGTGGAAGACGAGACGGAGGATATATGCTGCGGATGATGCCAGCGGAGTGAGGGCATATTCCCCGGGAATAAACCATCCAACAATGATAGAGGGCCGAGCTGTGTGACTGACGGGCAACACCTTCCTTCTTCAGTTCTCCTGCAGTAGATGGGCCAGCAAGCAAACATCAGTAACTCGTCTAGAAAACAAAATAAAATTCCAGCCAGTACCAGTACTAGGGTTGACGGAGACCCTTTTTTTTTAAACTGTTGACCACGATGGAGATTTAATTGGGGAATAGCAAACAGATGTTGAGCGCGTGTTTAGTTCAACCCTAAATTCTCAAAAAGTGCTACAGTACCTATCACATCGAATCTTGCGATACGTGCATGGAGCATTAAATGTAGACGAAAAAAAACTAATTGCACAGTTTTGTTAGAAATTACGAGACGAACGTTTTGAGCCTAATTAGTCTATGATTGAACACTAATTGCCAAATAAAAACGAAAATGCTACAGTAACCCAAATTCACCACGCGCTGAGGCTTACGAGATTGCCGTTTGATCCTGGGGGCAGCAACAACATGGGAGCTGACCAATCAGAACGGATAAAGATAAATAGAAAAAAAAATTGAACACAAGGACAAACAGAATTCCCGCTCAGATTTTTAACATAAATATAAAAGCACGGAGTAACAAAATGTTGCAAATTTTGCGTTACGAAGAAACTTTTTTCGGTAACGCTAGGATTAGGGCGTCTGTCCGGACGTGTTGAGCCCAACAGGCAATCGGTTTGCTTTCCTCTAAGCTATCTCCTCCATCTCTACCCCGTGACAAAACCCCCATCGACAGAAAATCCCCACTAGCTTCGCTCGTCGTGGCTTCACCGCATCGGGCGCCCACCCCATCACTCCGCCCCGCCGCTGCGCACTGCTTTTGCCGCCATGACGTGCCCACTCCTCCTCTAGGACCTCATCGACGTCGGCATGGTTGACGAGTCGGACATCTTCGGCAGCGCAGGGGATAACAACGACAACCTCCTCCGGGCGCTCATCAACGCGGACCTCCCTAGCAGGGACCTCGACCTCGGCGTGTGGAAACTCCTGGCCGTCGCAGCGCCCTCCTTCGCCGGCTTGCCCGCACTACTCGGGTACCTCGTCCAAGCAGCAAGGTGACATTTGAGCAGCACATGTTAGAAGCTTATGTTTCAAGTGTTTTATATGTTTCATCTGGATATTGCAGGTGTTTCATCTTAATATTGCAAAAGTATATCGTGATATTGCACATGTTGCAATGGCTATACACGTATATTTCAAGTGTATGTTCCAAATGTTTCATCACTTTTTTCAGACGTTTGTTGCAAGTGTTTCATCTAAATGTTGCATATATTTCACATGTATGTTGCAAGTATTTTATTTGGATGCTGCAGATATTTGCAATGGTTTTCAAGAGTTTTGCAAGTGTTTCAGAATTCAGATGCATGTTGTAACTTTTCAGCTGTTTCGTACGTATTTTGTAAGTGTTTTATCTGGATGTTTCAAAAGTAGATTGGGATGTTGCACATGTTCCAATGTGATCCACCTTGCCACAACCGCCTACTGCAGTTGTTTGGACGTCATGCATGCGTGTGGGGGAGCGATGGGATGGAGCGCTGCTCAGTAGCGGGCGCGGGAAGCGGAGGGCGATGGCGGCATGGGCGCATGCGGTCCCTGCGGCATGCGGGTGTGGCAAGCGGAGATTGTGCAGGCGAAAAGCAGAGAGGGCACGGGCATCCGGACAGAGACGCGAAGTGCGGGTGCAGTTTCCTGGGAGCTGCAGACGCTAGCGTCTGGCGTAGAAATGAACTACAGCCAGGGGCGTCCGTCCGGATGTCCGGGCGTTAGCAGTGCCGAACTTTTTTAGGTTTAGCAGTCATTGGTAAGGACTGTTTGTTTCTTTTACTTTTGGCTCAAGTCAAAAGCAAAAACAAATAGCAACTATTGAAATTGTCTTCTAATAAAGAAATAAAAGTGATAAGCCAAAGTAGGTCTACAGCTGCTTTTGCTAGCTCTCGTGAGATGGTACGGTGAGGGGCATTACATATATAATATATTAGACGTGTGCTTGTTCAAAAGTTAATTTGTGAAGACATTTTTAATGCTTTTTCAAAAGCTTCCTTCTACATTAGCCTACAAAAGCCAACTTTTCAATGAAAAGCAAAAGGTCAAACAAATATCTCGGATCATCTCACCAAACTCTTCACAAAGTTCATCTCATCACTAAACTCTTCATAAAGTTCTTGATTTGTTGATCCAAAGATTATGTCATCTACATACACTTGGCATAAACAAATCTTTTCCAATCCTTCTCGTGAATAGGGTAGTGTCCACCTTCCCGTCTTGAAACCCTTTGAGAATAGGAAATCACTCAACCTATCCTGCCATGCTCTCTAGATACTTGCTTCAATCTTTGGTGTTTTCAAAACCTGGTGGTTGCTCAACAAACACTCATTGATCTTGCCATTTAAGAAAGCACTTTTCACATCTATTTGATATAACTTGATATTATGAAAGAAAGCATATGCAAGCAAAATCCTTTATAGCGTGAAGCCTTGCCACGGGTGAAGTTTCTCCAAAATCCAACCCTTCAACTTGATTGTATCCTTGTGCAACTAGCCTTCCTTTGTTCCTCATTACCACACCATCTTAATTTTGCTTGTTCTAGAATACCCACTTAGTTTCAATGACATTGTGGTTCTTGGGTCTCCACTAGTTCCAGAACTTGATTTCAAGTGAAGTTGTTGAGTTCTTCATGCATAGAATTCACCGATCACGGATCCCGACCTTCATGCTTCATCAACCTTTGTAGGCTCAACCGAGGACACAAATAAATGGTGCTAACAAAATGATCAAGTATTGATCTTGTTTGAACACCACTTCTTGTATCACTGACTATTTGATCCATAGGATGGTCTATTTCAGTTTCTTGATTCAATAGGGATGAATCACTTGATCACTTGAGCTTGATGGTTGTGCACTTGATGGTTGAATAATTGGACTTAGATTTGGCATATGAGAAGTGTAGAAAGTGGTTGAGAGCAATCCGGCTAGAGTGCATTCCAGAGTGGTCACCATAGCTTCCACAACGAAGATGTAGGATTCAAGTGGGAGGAAATGCATCATGATTGGTGTGTCTTTGACTGCAGGGGCTATGTGAACGTATCAAGGAACTTATTGAGACGCCACACACCAAGTTCACTTTGACGTGAAAGAGGTGAGGAGCCTAATAGTTTTTCTATATAGGTTTATCAGGGAACTGGCTAAGCCAGGTTTGACACAGTAGCCTGTGAGGCTGTCAAAACAGCTCCATGATCGAACGTCTCACATCACGTGTTGGTCAGATCCGACGGTTAGCAGTTTATAGGTGACGTATAGTTTTATTGAACTACCCAACGTGACAGGGGCGGGCCAAGCACGGCACATGTTGCCGGGCTATGCTAGCCGAAGCGCAATGGCAACTAGGCCATAGTGTGGTTGTGTGTGTGTGTGTCTATCTATCTATCTATCTATCTATCTATCTATATATATATATATATATATATATATATATATATATATATATATATATATATATATATATATATATATATATATATATATATATATATATATATATATATATATATATATATATATATATATATATATATCCGATGTATTTAGGACAATAGGACCCACACCACGGCGACGTGTTAATCCAAAAGCCTTCGTCCTGGCCCTGCTATGGTGGTCGCCCTGCCCACCCGCGCATACGTGATCCCGACCAATTCCCACTGGCCACTCTACTCCGACACCCCAGCACATCAACGGCATCATTGCCCAGCTGCGCCCCGCCTCCGTCCTCTCTCTTGTGAAGGCGAGGCTGATGGCGGTCGCCCACGCCTTCCACCATGATTCCCGCGCCATCAGGTCCGTCGCACTCTCTCTCTCTCAGTCTCCATCCGTGCGCGGCATGCATGACCAACCCCGTCCTCGCGGTTGTGTTCTCGCACCCATGCGTCCTGCGCTCCCCTCCTTCCCCAACTTCCTCATTTATCCGTCCGTTTCCTGGTCCGCCGGTTCATCTCCATCACTTGTGCATTTGTGCGTCTCGTGTCTCACAGGCCAGCGCTGGAGAACGCGACGACCACCGCGTCGGTCTTCCTCGGCGAGCACGACCACCTGCTGCCCGGCGCGGTGCAGCGCCAAGCTGCGGCCGTGGCTGGCCACACGGCGTTCAGCGACCCACGCAGCGAGCTCACCTGCAACAACAACAACTACGACGCCACTTGGTCCGTCGTCGTGCCCAGGAAGCGCGCGCGGATCGGCGGCGCGGTGGGCGCCGGCCTGAACCTGATCATGGAGGGCACCGGCACCGCGCGCTGCTGCCCGTGCCGCAGGCGTTCGCGCCCGGAGGCGGCGGAGAGGATGCGCAGGGAAGCAGCAGGGTGCTCTGCTCCGGCGCCGCGTCCACCAGCGGACGCCCGGCGGCGGCAGGCTCCGCGTCGGTGTCGCAGTCGCAGCACGGCGTCCTGGCGCACCTCTACCGCCACAGCATCGAGGTCGACGCGCTCGTCCGTATCGAGGTGCGCTCTGCGTTCTGCGTTGGCTTCTCAGCGCCGAACGGAACCCGCCTCTGACTGTTTTGGTATCACACACATCAGACTGACTGATGACTCTCTCCCGCGCAATCGCATTCAGAACGAGAGGCTGCGGGCGGGGCTGCAGGAGGCGCGGCGCCGGCACGTCCGGGCCGTGGTGTCGGCCGTGGAGCGCGGCGCCGCGCGGCGCCTTCGGGCGGCGGAGGCCGACCTTGCGCGCGAGCTGGCGCGCAATGCGGAGCTGTGCGAGAGGGTCCGTGAGATGGGCGCGGAGGGGCAGGCGTGGCAGGGCATCGCCAGCGGCCACGAGGCTGCCGCCGCGGGCCTGCGCGCTACCCTCGAGCAGCTCCTCCTCCAGACGCCGTGCGCGGGCGCGGGAGCGGCTGATGAGGAGGGCCAGGGAGAGGTGGTGGAGGACGCGCGGTCGTGCTGCTTCGAGCCGGAGCGGCAGCGGCAGGAAGGCGCGGACGACGACGACATGGCCCGTGGCAGTAGCAGCACGAGGGCGTGCCGGGCGTGCGGCGCGGCGGATGCGTGCGTGCTGCTGCTGCCGTGCCGGCACCTGTGCCTTTGCGGTGGGTGCGAGGCGGTTGTCGAGGCGTGCCCCGTGTGCGCGGCCACCAAGAACGCCTCGCTCCACGTCCTCCTCTCCTGACCTCATCGGCACCGGCACGGCAGGGCAGCGTATACTAGTGTAGATTCCTTTTGGGTTGGTTTGCTCGTGCATTTCATTGAGACTTTTTCGTGTGTTATTATAAAGATCATGATCACTGTGTGTCCTGGAAAAATTCAGCGGTCTTGAACGCCACTACTCAGCTTTTCGGGTCCTCCATGCCACTTCGCTTGATTCGAGACTCTAACGTCGTCAAGCTGCAGGTGTGAAAAGAAACGAAAATGCCCTTAAGTTCAAATATGTTATTAATTGTTTAAGCATCTTAGCGACTTAATGAAAAAAACTCAAAAACTAAAAAGTGGTAGATCTCGTCCAGATCTATAATTTTCATATAAAATTATTTTCATTTAATTCGCATTAAAAAAAATATGATTTGATATGATTAATATATCTTAGAAAAATCATCATATTTTTTTTGAATTAAAACGAAAATAAATTTTATATAAAATTATAGATCTCGACGAATCTACAACTTTCTAGTTTTGAGTTTTTTCATTCAAATAAGATGCTCAAAAAATTAATAACATATTTGAACCATGGGCATTTTTCTTTTCACACTCAGCATTTGATTGCGTTAGAGCTCTGAACTGACGGAAGTATAACGCAGGAATGAAAAAGTTAGAAACAATGCTAAAGACCGCTGAATTTTTCATGCACACAAAGGATACGATCTTTTATAATGGCACACATTCAACCTTTTCCTCTTGTTTCTCTTGCAATCTTCATGAGCCGTTAACCAACCGATGTTTTCTTATGGGTTGCCTTTGCCTCCCCTCCGAGGAGACTCCATCTTTGGGTGGTGTTGGATATTGGATGGGATTAGTGGAGTCGTTGAACTTGATGGGAACAGATTCGATCAATTTGCTCCGTTGAGGCAATCCAATTTGGTACCTGCACGCCTTTTTGTTTATATTTACGTACTCACGTTCGTCCAGGTGCAGGTGAGCTGACCCAACATTTTTTGTGTTGTATACAATGCTGCAAGCAGCGTAAAATGCAAGCAAGGGGAAACGCATTTTAGTTTCGCTTATAGCAGCATCATCACTGACTAGTGACTAGTTGCTGTGATGACAGTGGAATGCCCGCTGGCCAGACAAACTTTACCTGAGACCAGGTCCCTATCTTCAGAATTCAGATAAGAAAAAATGCTTTTTTATCCTGTGAGTTGTTGGTGATACTCCTATTTGTCACTTGCCAGATAGATGTTTGCCTGGTGAAACGCCCTTCGCTAAGCATTTAGTTCGCTTCATCAGTTATTAGTGGATTGCCATTTGCAACTTTCCTAACAGAAGCGCGAAACAGGAACAGCTGAGCAAGAGAGAGATCGGCAAATTGGCCCGATGATAGTCAAAGCCATAAAATCTGCAGAAAAAAGATGCAGTTTGGAGTAAAATTTCCGTTCACATTTTATGTGTTTCTGCGGCTGGGCCGTTGTCCTGCTCCTGCGGTTTCGATGCGAGCCTAGAAGTAGTAGTGCTATGCTACTACATAGAAGAGGAGTCGGAGTCGTTTCGCACGTAGCGAGGCCAAAAGGGCTCTAAATCGAAATCACCTCTTCGCCAGTGGCCGATCAATCCATGCAGTTAATACAGCTCTCCTCTGGTTGATTGTTCCTGAAAACAGGCTGACACCTGAATTTTTGCAGTAGTACAGGATCGTCGCCGAGAAAGTAGAGTAGATACTGTACTCCTAGAGTGCGGTGCGGCGCAGTAGAGGCAGGCAACCGTTGTCTGAAACTCGACAGGAAAACGTGCCAGTAACTGGTAGCGACAGCCAGGACGGACGGAGCCGGACAGCCGGACAGGCGATCGGCCATCGGCTGCCCATGCCGGCTGGTGACCGATGGACGACAGTCATAATGAGTTGCCCTGTACTGAGACGGACGACTGCGAGATCCGCAGATGCTGTTGGGCGTTGGCAGACCCCACAGTCCCCACACACAGCACGCATCAATGGCTCCGGCGGTCCGGGCGTCCGGCCACGACGACGACGACGACGACGACGACGACGACGACGACGGTCGATGGTGCTGCGGATGCTGCTGCCCCCTCGCCCACACGACAGCGAGGCGACCGGCCTCCTCTTTCTTCTTCAGCACGTGTTTAGTTCCATGAACTTTTGAATTAGGGCTACTGTAGCACGTTCGTTTTTATTTGGTAATTAATGTCCAAACATGGACTAATTAGGCTCAAAACGTTCGTCTCGTAATTTTCCACCAAACTGTGCAATTAGTTTTTTTTCGTCTACATTTAATGCTTCATGCATAGACCGCAAACATTCGATGTGACAGATACTGTAGCAAATTTTTAGAATTTAGGGTCCAACTAAACACGCGCTCAATTTATTAAACTCCTCGTGTGCCTTGTTAGGTTCCTGTCACTGCTTCTGAAAGCAATAGTACAGTGCAGTAAATCTGAGACGCCCGACTGACGATCTGTGTCTCCTTTGTCACAGCCGGGACTTTGGCATTTCACCCGAGAAACGGGTTTCGTAGTTTTACTATCCCTTAAAGTGGATTCGCTATTTTACCATTATGAAACGTATGCAACCCGCTGAAATATATTTGTGGTGGTTTTAGGTCGTGGAAAAAAAAAAGAGGACTCCTTCCATTCCTACCTTGGCATTTGTAACTTTGATCGGAAGCGGATCCAACATAAAAGCGGATCGGCCGTCTCCTCCATCCCCAGTGACTGGCCTTCCTCCCCACGCCGCCTCCTCCCGTCTGTGCCAAGGCGTGGCCTTCCCCACGCCGCCACCTCCCCTGCCAGCACCTCCCCGCCACCACGCTCCCTCCCAGGCCATCCAAGCGCCGCCTCCTCCCTTGCCAAGCAGGCCCACCCCCGCCTTCTCCTCCCTGCTAGTGTGAGCTCGCTTCCACCTTCCCTTCCACGCTGCAGCGCCGGCCGGCACCGCTCCACTTTGAGTCGCCCAAATGGATGGGAGCAGCCCGATTCGACAGGGCCATCCAGGAGGTTGAGAGTAGAGTCATTCTCCCTCTTGTCCCACGCGACAAATGCAAATGCCGCATTGTCAAGGCATTGATGGCAAAAGACAGAGAAGAACTATGGGCGCATGTTCTACATCATTCAACTCGAGCAGTTCAATGATTTGTTCCATTTGTTCAAACAATTGAAATTTATTTGCATTGGTGACAGATGGATGGTGGTGGATGTGACTTTTGGAAGTGGCGGGGAGGACTATGAGCAATGACTGGTTGATAACAAGCATGTGCCACCCTTTTATCAGGCGTGTTTTTGAGCACTAAGATGCCACAACGGAAGAACAAACCAAGGAGATGGTGGACAACTAGAGCAGTTGAAGGACCTGATAGGAATAGCTAGAGAGATTGTGTTCTTATTGAAATGCTTGATATTAGTTTGTGCACTTGTACTAGTGACCAATTTGTATGGAATTGTTAAGAGTGGGTGATGAGTGTGCTTTCTGTACTTGTAGAACTTGTGTGCTGAAATAAATGAATGGAAGTATTAGTGACTTGTATCATGTGTGCTGTGTCATGTGTGTTGAACTGCATCTGGAATGCTTTCCTATACTTTACAGACCATGAGCTACAAAGTTCAGTCCACTGTGTAACCTGGCCATTTGTCATTCTGTACATGTTTCCATTTGTCTGACATAACTGTATAGGAATGATTTCCATGACTCAATCTAGAATGCTTTGTCAGCCAATCGTTGAACAGGGGTCGCCCTTGTGTGGGCTTCTTCAACTAAGTGAAGTATGTCAGACATGACAGTCTCACCACCAGGTCTTCTAACTTTGACAGTGAGTTTACCATTCAGCAAAATAAGATGCTAAACTGAGATGTTACTTGAATTCAGCAAGCCAGATAATGAGATACGAACAGTTGCTTCATGTTAAGAAAAAACTAAGGCATTTAGAGACATACATACCCTGTTATCTTTATTACGGGCATAGGTTCTGTCAAACTTGATTCATCAAACTGTACTCCTTCCGGCTTTGACAATACCATATGCTTTGGGAAAGCAGAAACTATCACCCATGTTTTGTGCATGCTTTACGACTGTACTCACCCTGTGTAGAACAACAACGTAGTCCCCAACGAAGAAGAGTATCACATGGGACCTCAATCAATGAAATGATATAAACAAACTCTCTGACCCATTGGCCATATGCCATGAAGCAAAT